TCCCAGTACAGGAATATCTTACCAAGAACACTAACCCTACAAGAGGGCACTCGCTCCGCTATACAACTCTTACCTGCAAAACAGACACTTACCGAGCCAGTTTCTTCCCAAGAACGGTCGGTGAGTGGAACATTCTACCCTCGCACTTAGTCACATCACCATCAGTTGACAGCTTTAAGTTGGGGCTGGCCCAGCACATGGGCCTCCCCAGCTCCCAGCTATAATCAGGAATCACATTGCGGCCATGTATATAGTCACTGCACAATTTATTTTCTTGATTGTTCGTTATGTTGATTTTTTTTATGAGCACCAGTCACCCCACCAGGCCGCATATGCCGTGCAACTGAACGTGAGGCCCCATGAGGGTGTTGTTCAGAAACTCATAGATGTAGATGTAGATGTATATGGTTGGATATTCTGGACCCTCCTACCCAATATGCCTGCTAACTGCTCTTATTACTGCAGTGATTTTTTTTTCGCCGTTAGGCCACACCAATTTAATTTGTTGGTTCTCGGATTTTTTCAGAAAAAATATGAAGCGACAGGGCGAAAAAAAATAAAAATAAAAACAGGCCTAGGCATCCTGTTATAGGCTTAAATGCTACGAAATGAGCCATGAAGTCAACACAAAAGGCTGGGTTAAAATTTAAACATTGAATTTTGAACTTTTAATCAAACCACTGCAATGATAGATGGGAAAACTGTAACAAGTAGGAAGAAAAGGACTTTCCTCAACTGTTGGGGGCAAAATATGAGCATTTTTCAGTTGATTCAGGACCAGAATCTAAATTTTTTTTTTTTTTTGCAAATCAGAAAAAATGAAGAGGCGAATCCGAGAACCAACAAATTAAATTGGTGTGGCCTTATGGAGCGCTTTTTACCCCAGGTAGGCAACAAGCAGGTGACGGTTAGTTGATTTGCCTACCATTACCAATACTTTGCATATGCATTCAAATAATTTGCATTTATATAATGTAAACTAAAACAGCGATTGCTCGTATTCATCTCAGATTATGGAAAGATGACAATGAAAGGCTGTAGCCTTTTTTAGCCTCCTGAAAGAAGGTGATTAGAAGAACGGTTAGCTAAACAGAGGGGTGGGGAAGTAAGAACATACCAAAAAGCCAGCAGCATACATGTATTTATTAATCCAAAATTCTGTAACATTTAATGATGTTTGCACTGTTCAAATTGTAAGGAACAATTTTCCTGTTACAGTTTTCTGTCCTGATTGCAGTTATTCACACCAAGAAATCTGTCTTAAAAGCTCAATTGCCAAACAGTCCATGAAAACATAACACTTATATACAATATATCAAGTTATGAAACATTTAAGAGAATATTTTGTTCCAAGCACAACAGTATGATGCAGTAGTGTACTGTGCCAAGACTTTCATGTTGTATCCTGTCATGTCACATGGCCGATCTGTGCATAGCTGAGAGGAAGGCTGAGTCCCACCACTGGTCCTACTGTACTCAGCCAGCTCACCAGGTAGTTCAAACTGGGACAACAATACAGGAAGGGAACATCATAAAACAAGTTTGAACTGTCGTTTCCAACACATGAAATTGGACTTTCCCAAATGTTCAACTGTTTAACTCCAGTCTTTGACAACAGTCAAACAGTCTTTGCCAACAGTTGAACAGCCAAAAAATTGGGTAAGTCCAATTTCTTGTTTGATAATAACGTCTGCCAACACAGATGAACTTCCAAGCTATTAAAAAGAAAGGGAACTTGTTACAGAGCATTATGTACATTTCCCAAACTCGATCTGATTCTAGTTTCCCTGAAAATGTGTAATCATTTTAAGTAGAGAAAACCATTACAGCAACACACAGTACAATATTATACCTGAACTGAAATATTGATTCATACAAAATACTGGCATATTAGCCTGGAATCCAGCCTTGTTGAAGATTGAGCCAGCACCCCACAAGATCTGCTACCCTGCCAAGAAGGATCTTGGCTAGACTAAAGTGAACAAGTCTGGATTCCAGGCTACAGGTGCATGTATATGCATTCTTCAAGAGATAAATATGTCCACTTGACACACTTTTCTGATATTCTACCTGATGACCTACCTCCCTCTTTCCCTGTCCTGTGTTTCCTGCATGAGCGGTTGCATCATGGTGGCAGTGTGGCAGGGGTGTAGCTGGAACATGGGACAGCCTAACACGGGATGCTCCTGCAAAAACAACATGTAATAAGGGAAAATTTTTGAGTAAGCTTTGTGACGAATTCTTGCAGTGACAAAATGCCAAGATGTCCTACTTGTCCTATAAGCCAACGAGGGCAACATACAACGACCACCCAAGTGTTTAATGCCTTTCATCAAAGTATTACCTTTGTGGAATATTGCAGACCGAATTGTTGTCTGGAGATGCAAATCATCCAAAATGTCTTGTATATGTAGTTATAAGTGTATAACTGTTTATTTTTAGGTAGCCGCAGAGTTACATTTTGAATATACATGTACCATATGTACAGTTTAATTCTGGACTTCAAGTTTAATTCCAGACTAATTCCCATATCTCAGCAACCTTACGTAGATGGACTAATATCGTAAACTACATGTAAAAATGATTTAAGAAGTAGGTGGCAGCCATCAAGGATCCCTTCAGGATTAACCCAATTCTGCAGAATTCTGAACTGGAGCCAGAAATCTTGGAACTGGACTCAGACTTCTGGGAACCGGAGCCAGAATTCTGGGAAGAATTCTGCAGAAATGCGTTAATCCCCAAGGGGTCCTCGATGGGTGCTACATATACATATTTCTTACGTCATAGTTTACAATATTAGCCCATCTAGATGTAAGGTTGCTGAGATATAGGCACTAGTCCGGAATTCAACTGGAAGTCAAGAATTAAACTGGAGGCTGTTTCAACCATTTTTCTTTTTAAATAGCACTCCTGTAATGAGCCTCTGAAATGCTGCTTCAGCTCCCATGATGACAATATGACATTTCGAGTAGGGTTATGATATCTTGCTCATAATATATCTTAAGATGTTTCAGTCCTTACCTGTTGGGTAAGGAAGGTCCATCTGTCATCTTGAAGTCTGGACTGGAAGCCAGCAGGCACACTGGACCACACCTCATCCAGGGATGCCAAACTACCATCTAGGATAGGAGGAACATCATTTTATTGACCTTATACAAGTAGGAAGTAGTGTTCAAAAACAAAGCAGTCAATAGTAGAATTTTGGGGTTTTCTTTTTTTACACGACTGGTATATACTCTCACCTGCTTACATTTAATGATCAATGCCTGACTGGAGTACTGTTTCTTTATGCTATATGTAGCCAATGTAGGTGGTGCTTTTGCGGAAGAACACAACCCCAAATGTGGCTAAGTGGCATTAGAGGCAGTATAACTACTCCAGTTAAAAGCTCTGAGGAAGATATCTCATAGACATTGAAAAATAAGCAGGTGAAATAGAGTCTATACTGGTTGTGTAAAAAGAAAACCTCAATATTCTACATTTTACCAATCGGGTGAAATTATTTTCAGATGAAATGAAAATACTGTATTTTCAATCCTGTATGCGATTAACATATCAGAAACGTTGTGGTGCAGAAGAGCCAAAAACACACCAGACGATTGAAAAATAGACCACGGCTAAATTTAGCACAAGACTCATTAGCCCAGCTGTAGTGAAATGTAATATTGGCAGCTTCTTGAGTTCCATGCAAAACCTGTTCAAGTGGCAGAAATGCCACAGAAATAAAATGTTTCTCACACGTCGTTACTCCACCTGTACGTGCCTGTAACAGAATTCGTGTTCCCAACCGTATTATCTCCCAAACATGATGAGCTACTAAAAAGTCACCTACACGAGACAAACTTCCAAATTCAGCCTTGATCCTACACATGATTTAATACTCCCCTTGCCATGGGCTGGTAGTAAAGCCTAGATTTAATCAGCCTTGACACTGAAAAGGTTAAATCACATTGGATCTGTATCGGGACCTCAACAGTGATGTAAAACTGCCTAACTAGTTGATCACCATGGCTGCAGTACCAACTGAAACAGTATGGTGGGGTCAGCACACAAATATCTGGGGTGCAACAAAAATCTGCCGATTGCGTTCCACCCCTTCATGATCTGTACAATACACCGGGCATATCTCCTCCTACAATACATTTGCATCATCTTGTGTAACGCAGCGGTGTTTTTATCGAGACGGCGCTCCCAATTTATGGAAGGGCTCTGGCGCTAGACAGCGTGGCACCAGGACTAAGACTTGTGTAGAGATAGACAGGCCCTGTTAAGAACCCGGGCTGGTCACCAGGTTGCTTCAGGGGAAATAGACAGGGCCATGGTGATGAATATGTCGACTCTGGTGCCAGTGGTAACAGCCATCATGCAAGCCCTGATTCAATCACAGGTCCGGCCATGACAGCTATTGTTTCACACTGGCATTGCGCTAAAAGTTATGGGATATCATTGAAATGCATGTGGCTTAAAGATTTTTAAAATTTTTTATCAAGGTAATACTTTAAACATCTTGCTGAGGGTAGACAAATTTATTTCCTAGGTCTCAGACATTTAGCAAATAAATTCTTACTAAGAGGGCAAGTTGAAAATTGTTTGAAAGGAATGAAAACTTGCATCTTACGAAATTCACACCCTAAAACAGTGGGTACCCAAGGAAAATGTTTCTGATCTGAGAACTAACAAATTGACTTCTTGCATCCTTAAACTTTAAAATCTCTGCTGTCTTATATGAAATTTCAGAAACTAAGGATTGCTCCTAATGAAGACAGCCTTGGAACTAAATTTTCATCGGTTATGTGGTTAACAATATTAGTAACAAACGCTCTCTTCGACATGCAAACTACTTTAACAAATTTGTTGATTAAGAATTTCAATCTGGATCAAAAATCATTCCTTTAATGTAGTTTATGTCATATTTTCAAATGTCAACACAAGCCTTTTACAACAGGACTGAGCCCAGACAATACCTGCAGAAATTAACTTTATGATGCTACGGTGAGTATGATGCAGCTAAAGGGTTTATGGTCACAATACACCTCCAATACTTGGCGACCTTATCTAGCCTCCATAGCATGCCAAAAACTGGAGGTTTGGGGGTCTTCAGGGTCTTTGGGACCTTTTATATGCTATTTTCTGATTGCATATAGACAACATAGCCGGCCTGGTTGAATACCCCCGTTTTTTTGCTAATCAGAAAACAGCCGAAGACCACCAAACCCCCAGTTCTATAAGCCTGCTACAGAGGCTACCCCTTATCACTGTTTTACAGCAAAGGAACATCCCACACACTGTCCTCCTGCTATTCTAATTGTAGAGACAACTTTCCACGCGACAATAAAACACAACAGACAGAGGGAAGCTTCGTGGCGAAGTGGACAGTTTTATTCTGCATCCCAACAGAGATTTATCACGTTCACGCAACAAACTGCCAGCCACTTATGTGCAATTTGCATTTGATTAATGCCACAGCCGCGTGGGTGACGATTATACCCAAGTCTCTTTTTCTGGAACATTTCTGCTCGGAACGAGACACGTAGGCAATGTCGTTAATGCTAAATGCTGGCATCAGAGCTTATAACAATGTCAGCATCTAGTGCCTGCGGACATAATGATATTTCACCATAGGCCATATTGTCTTCTTTATAAGCCCCTTGGTCTACTCCCACCAATTGAAAGTGACTGTTGATAATTTGTACCTATCAAAAATGTGCAGATATGTCTTTAAATTTTAATTTCAGAAAAGCTCTTCCTTATTTCTTGGAACTGCCTCTTTGGTTTATCTTGTAAGACTCGACAAAGTCCATTGTTCATCAAAAGTCACCACATAGATGATACGTCAATCCTGTATATTGCCAATTAATACAAAATACAAAAGTGAATACAAAAATTTGTGCATATCAGTAGATGACATTCCCCGGCAGATGTCTCTTTAGCAAGTGAATTACGACACGTATCATATTTTCCTCCTCTTTTCATTGCCATCTCCCTGCAGGCCATACACATCCCAATTTTCATCTGCTGTTGGCATGGCAACCCTGCCCACAATTCCCTGTGTTGCCTTTACAACTCCCCCGGGACCTGCTTGCCAAAACTGCTCCACCAGCTGAGCTCAGGAGAGATCATAATTTATTGCAAAATTGGCAGCCATTTACATAAGGTTTAGCATATAAAGAATAAACATTACACAAGGTTAGAAAAAAAAAGACCGAAAATGACAGAGGAATGTATGCAGGTTAATTTCATTAACTTTTCTATTTTTCCAGTTTGCTGCTCATTCAAAATCACAAGTTAGCTTGAACAAATAATATGTACAAAAAACATGACAAAGGGGAGCGGTTGATTTTCAACGAAACATACCCGGTATCAGAGAATAAAGGTTGGAGAAGCAACAATACCTACGCTTTTCCATTTCTAACATACAGAAGGGTGCAGTCAGAACTAGTACATAAGTCCCTACTTATTAAATCAAACTGAATGAATATTTTTCATCCTTCCATTGTACACACTTTGTTTAATAGAATAAGCACAAAGGCCTGTCATTAGAATGCAGGTATTTAAGATAATACACATTGCAAATATGCCAAGTCAGAGGTCATCTTTTGATACCATGTCCATAGGGAATTGATATGATGTATATATGTACATATTAATATCATTGTGGTGAGCATGATTGTGACCTGTGTTTCTGTGTCCTTTGGCTACCTGGTAAAATTGTTGAGTGCAGAAAAATATTGTGTCCACACAACTTACATTGATAAAATGTTTAAAATTGTTATTTGAGCATATGAATGAAGCCATGTGATATCAGACAGCCATCATTATGTGCAGCTATATCTACTACTAACTACTATTGTTGAAGGTAGACCCATACAGATCTATTGTACTGTAGGGACTCTGTAATATGAGATTCAAAACATGAGTTTGCTTTTTTTTATGCTGGATTTTTATACTTTGAAAAATCATTTAGAAAGTGCAAAAAGGAGTATCATAAAAGGAATTTGGGAAGTCAGATTCACTTCTATACTTCACAAACTCATATTACAGCTATTTTTTTTAACTTTTAGCAGTTCAAAATAAAAATAAGAATTGGACATATTTTCTTTCATCTACAATAAATAACAATAGTCATAGATATCAAACACAAGTCATTTTGCCTAAGATATATAATATTAATTCAGGGCTCAAAATAATTTTTTCTGCATACCTGCACTGGTGCAGGGAACATTGAAAATTACCTGCACCAGACAAATTTTACCTGCACCACTCAGAAAGTATGGATCATACTATACCATTGCCATTATTGTTCAGAAGCCATTGTTATTTCTTTTATACATGTACTTAATATGTGGTAGCAGTGAATGCAGCAAATGAAAATCTGCACACAACTACACATGTGTAATTCTATAGAAATCCATTTCATGGACTGGTCAAGTCGACATCAGTTTTACCTGCACAGTTCCAATTTTACCTGCATGTGCAGGTGGTATTTCAAGCCCTGATTATGTACTGGATGAATGTATACTGCTAACCTGTTCTGGATGCTATAAAGTACAGCACAGGTACACTATAGCTGGTACTGTACAGGACATGGTACTGGTATCTGTAGTATTGCGTGTCTTTTGTCTCACACTGAACTGTGTTGATGTCAGTTTCTTCCTGTAAACAAGAAACAAAACAATTTTCAATGTTACATCACGATCAAAATAATATTGACATGCACCAGACTAATTTGGGAACAATGTCATTACTTACATTACCTCCTACTTGAGTTAGGTCGACAGTAAGTTACATAGTACACATTTAACAGACTTATTACTTCCGGGTATTGTTCGAGTGGCTGCATTGTGGCTACTTTGTGTGTTTATTGCGTCCGTCTTTCCGTCATTTGACGGAATTTTGCTGCTCAATACGAACAAAAATTTTGCTCAATCTGTCATCTTTGACAGACAAAAATCTGCATGTAAAGATATGGAAAGAGATGTCTTTAAACTAAGCTTTAGTCTACCAGCCAAATTTCTCCTTTAAAATGTAGGAAATGGCATTTCAGGGGGTCAAGATTTAAAAATTTCCTATAACTACAGTATAAGATTGTCACACAACTGGCATAACGTCAACTCCTGTCTGCGGCGCTCGACAAGATGTACGTCAAACAAAAAATGTAAGGAAGGAAAAAATTTTAGGCTGGCCAGAACACTGGTTTATTGTCCAGACAGTTGGTTATACATTGTACATGTATATTTTCAGTAAAGCCATCTTATATCCTGCTTGAAGATCAACCTTTTTTTTTTTGTTGTTTTAAAACAAAACATCCCACCTTAAACATTTGATAATCCAACAGTTTTTGAACAATACAATTAGTACTTTTGATAACTCATCTCTTTGTGCAAAATTTTATAAAATGTTCAACTTTACGCTAGCTCTCTAACATATGAAATTATTAGCATCTTTTATTGGGGGTGATGCGTACAGATAAAAAAAATTGTCTGCCAGTAATTACTTTTCTAGACTGGGAATGCAATTTCATTTTCTGTGTGACTTTGTGTGCTGGCCCGGAGGACCCCGGAGGAAGGGATAAGGTTAGTTATAACCTTGACATTAACACCTTCTTGGGCTGCTAGACTCCGAAAAACCTAAATTAGTCGCTGTGGGAGGGCCGATGGTCATCATTAGCAAAGTATATTGCCTGCCATGGTCCTTACCTTCATACATATTTGACTGTACAACTGTCAAAGGAGTCTTTCTTGGCAAAATATCTTTTGGAACAATTGTATATCCTCAAATCTGCTGGTTGCAATATTTTATGTTTCATTTTTCTGGGTTGAACATGGGACCCTGAATACTTACTTGAGCTGCTATCCCCCCTCCCTTCAAAAATAGTGTGTTCCATCAGTAGGACAGTTACAGTTTTAAAAGCTGAAAGAGAAATGGCTAGTGTATAAACATAAATCTTTTTGCTGATTATTTGTTACAAAGATGATGGTAAGGTTTAATATGACAACTCTCTAGGCTGTGATGGACTCACTGTGTTGTCTTTGACCACCAGGACATCAGTATTATCTTCCTCTTCCCCTTCCACCAATGGCCGACAGGCTTCTGCACAAACTCTCTCACAGACTGGACGTATGACATCCTTTTTTACAAGAAAACTTCCACCCTCCTGACTTGCCTGTGGTAAGAGGAAAGAAAAGGGGGATGTGGGGTTAAGTCTAGTTTAGTGAGCATGATACATTTAGCTTAATTGTCTGAAATACTTTTTGCATTAACTTTTAATAAATGGTAGTAAAAACAGGTCAGGCCAGCTGTTAATGGTATATAACATAGGCCTCTACTGCTATATCATACCGGGTAGATTCTTGTCTTAGATTCTTAGGCTGGCATAGAAAAAAAAGGTAACAGTACAAAAACAAAAGCCCAATAAAAATGCCTATTAAAAACATGGAAAAAATATGCCGAGGCCTATTAACTGTTATCAGAAACATAGATTCTGGGCTAAAGTACCTCATTGCAATTCATTCTTGGGTGTCCGATATTAATCATTTAATGTTGGATTGCCTTAAAAGCATTGGTCCGTTTGATGCACTTAGGAGGGGGCCTAGGTGAAGTGTCTTCAAAGGTATAAGAAGTCCTAAAACAAACTTTAAGACATGTTCTGCTTTCTTCAATAGGAGGAGCCGTTTGACCTGGAATGACCTACTTGGCAAGGACTGTTGGAGACAAACATCCCGTAAAACTTATAGTTGAACTTATGCCTTTTCACCTACTTGGAACAAAGGGTTTGTAATAAGGTTAAGAGTACTTCAAACAGCAAATTAATGTTTGACCAGACCTGGCTGATATAACAAAAAGTAAAATTTGATAATAATGGACAACAACTAATTCTATATCACTGTTACATTACTCTACTCAACGACATCATATAGGGATCCTATAATCACCTACAAAATGTATGTCTACCAAGGTATTAGAAATTATTTTCCCTTTACTGTAGTCCATCAACAAAGGAGGCTGAGCCCTTCAAACAATAAAAACAATAAGACTTTGAACTTGACAAAATAGTCATTAAACTTGAATTTCTTCTGAAAGACAAGTGCAAGGATCTGTTTCTACAGGATAATTGTGTCCTGTGGGATTTCTTGCCCCTGAACCCCCCAGTTGGAGCCAAGCTGAGAGGGAACTTGGAGACTTGAATACTTTGGGCACTGGGAAGCAGGTGCAATCTGACCCACGTTGCTAGGCAACCAGGCCAAAGGTCATCAGATAAGGTGGAAAGAGTGGACAGATAAGAACAGATTTGAGCCAAGCGTCTAGACATGCAGAAATGTGACACCCAGTTGATGTTTTGGTGGCATTCAGAGTTGTTTGGAACCCTTGTGGAGGAAGGTATGAAAATATCAGCTCAGAGACTGGCTTGGGTATTCACAAGGGGCGAAGACAATCTTCACTCTAGCTGATTGACTTGAAACATTTTCTTGTAAGCGTTCAAGTAAATGAAATGGCAATTGTGTTGCCTAATGTCCGGTCAAACATCCTTTGATGTAGTGGTAGAACACCTTTGTTCTCATGGCAATTATCATGTCAAATACTTATGACAGTCATAATGATAACCACCATTAGTATGTAATAGGAGAAGTATGGAAAATATGCATGCTATATATTCAGTAAACTTGATCTCATACAATTCTAACAGTCTATACAGCATAAAGCTTTATTACCCAATGGTACAAGATAATTAAAAATGCTAATGATTTAGAGATTGTTACACTTCACTAGGTTTACCCACAGGCATACTACATCAATCATAATCATAACAGAGATTTCAAAAGGGTTACAGTGTAAGTAAAGAACTACTTTGCCTAACTCTTGTGAAATTGTTTCAGAAGAAAAAACAATTTGAGTGAGATCTTAATACAAAACACAAGTCCTAATATTGCTTGTAATAAAGAATTACCATAATACAATTTCTGTAGGGGATTAATTTCTTTCAAGTTATTATGAGGTAACATCTCTTTTACCTGGTAAATGAGCTTAATGAAACAAATAATCTCTCCTTTCATCTGTATATCAAATTAACGATAGGGAAACAATTAACCATCCAATTTCAACCTTTAGGAGAAAAGTAACAGTTGAGGTTAAAACAATCTAAGAGCCAAAGTACATATTGTTATTAATTTTATGTGTTAATACCTCACTAACTACCAGGTATTTTCTGTGGAAAACCTTGACTAAAATACGAAGGACAGACCAGTAATGACAGCATGGTGGGTCTGCTAACACACCACAAATGTATGTGCACAAAAGAAAACAATGATGTAAAAATGAGCTTTTTTTTCATGATTGTACTTACTATTGTTACCTCTAAGTCATTCGATTACAACATGTATGCAAATTTTATTTGTCAAACACATATCAGAACCAACATTGCCTTCCCTCTGCTCATATAATGCACTTTCCCCATCTCTTGTACTGTCTGGCAGAAGCTGTATACAGAAAGGTACTTCAATCAATTTTCTGGAGCAAGGTATCATAAAATCTAGGTTGCAGCCCTGAAACATTTGATAGCACCCCAAATGACTATTGATTTCCTTCTTATGTCTGAAGGAATCTGATAGGTCCAAACTCTCAAGTCAATAATCCAAAACATAGAAATGATACAAAAATTAACATTACACATTTGAAAAAAAAACCTTGAAAATTTGCCACAAAGTACAGATAAGAAACAATCTGACACTGAGACATTTTACAAGACATTGGGAACTCTTAATAAACACAATAACAACATAAAATAAGCTGTTGCCATTATTGTACTTAGTCATTGAATTTTATTAATTTTCGTTTTGAATTAACTGTGTTATTTCATGGCTGTTACGTCCAGTAAATTGAACGGAAGACTGTTACGGGAGTCAAGCTGGATAAATAACGTTGTTGTGCATTTTCTTTCACAGGCACTTAACAAGGCATAAAGGAACATTTAACACCACTTGTTTACCCCCAATAGATCAAACTGGCATGCAAAACCCACCAGTCCGTGGCCTCCTCATTAAGGATTCAAATCACACACTCTAGCCGGAGAGGAAACCTCTTCTGGGCTTGTTAGTATTCCTCCCCAGTCTTGGGGTGGCCTTGTCTGGTGCAGGGAAAACTGCATACACATGTGAACTAAGTACACATCAGGCAGCCGGCCAATCACAGCGCTGCCAGGTCAAGAGGTCCAGCTGGTTGCCGTAGCAACCCTGGTTATGGAGTGACATTGCTTGGCCTTCTGCTTGTCTGTGGAACAGTTGGGCGGGGCTGCCGCTTGTTTCCCAACTCACCTGGGAGCTGGGTTTACCTCTAGGCCCTGGATGAAAGTTTGCTAAAAGATTTAGCAAACATTCAACAACAATGCCTCTACCTGCTATCACATCTATGCACAAGACACTTGTTACATGTACAAGTATAATCAGTTTTTACACTTAGCAGTATGATCTATTGCCATGACACAGTAAATATGTTTCTTTTAATTTTCTCGCTCATAAAAAATATGATAGATGCACACAGATATATAATTTTTTTTATATTTAGAATGTTAACATGATGGTAATTGTTTCTCCTCATAATCTAGTAAGAATTATTCCTTTGTTATTTTCTGAGACATTTATGTAAAAGGCAGACTGAAGGCATTACATCATGATGCTGATTAACTTCACATTTCAATTTAGACTGGTTGAAAACTGGCCAATATTTTCAAGTTCTTAAAATCCGCAACAGATACCTGCCATTGAGAGCATCCCACATCAGGGTTATGACTAAAATCACAGCATTCTGAGGACTGATTCAAACATATTAGAATGTTTCAAACTGAGCTTGGGAAGGGATATCTTGCAGCAAGTGAACTTCACTTTTCTAGGAATCCATGTTATATGTGAGTGAGTATGAAAATGTCTCGGGTTCATTTGTTTGTTGCCAGTCTTCTCAAAATTCTTTGGCAACACATGACTGTCTAAGCTGCTTTAAAACTTTTATAACAATTATCAAGTAGGAAAATAATTGTTATAAAAGTTTTAAAGCTTAACTTACTCTTGCGTTATATATGATAAGGAAGGGAGAACGGAAGGGAGAGGCAGAAAAAGTATACAGGTTTATACTTCTTGAACTAATTAACTTCAAAAACCTGAATGTGATTTTAATATGTATAATGATATGATTCAGTTTTCAGCCAAGATCACTGTTGGCTAGCCTCCATATAGCATGCCAAAAGCTGGGGGTTTTGGGGGTCTTCATGGTCTTTGGGAGCTTTTATGTGCTATTTTCTGATTGCATATAGACAACATAGACAGCCTGGTTGAATTACCCCCGTTTTTTTAACTAGGCTAATTATATAATCAGAAAACAGCCGAAGACCACCAAACCCCCAGTTCTATAAGCCTGCTACGGACTAACGGAGGCTAACTGTTGGCCGAGTGTGCGAGTTGGCAAAGTGCTCCTTTGGGAATGCGTCTCACTGTTCCTTACTTCCTAGGAATGTTTGGCATGCCACCAGATTCCAACCTGCTCCCCTTCAGCCAAAAACTGCCAACGTTGCATGTCAGCGAGGAAAGAACACCGGATACCACGCATTCCTCACCTCTACCCCATGTGCGACGTGTCTTTCAGCACTGAGGCTTGTTACAAAGTGGGGGATACATTAGGACTAGTGTTTATGGCTAGATGTCACACGTTGTACATTAATACCAAAACTATCGGCTGAATCACCTTGCCTGTGAATGTGGGTGGTACAGAAAGAAAGAAAACTTGTCTTCATTTCAGGGTTGGGACACAGAACTCCTGCAGGTTATCAAAATGGACCTAGCTTAAACCAACACAATGCTCCTGTATTCCTAGTAAGAAATATTATCTCTACCTCTTTCCCCCGAACTTTTCTTTTTCTCAGCCATACTTTTGAACAGGCAGCATATGTCCCTACAGAAGACACCTATGTTTTGGGCTGCTTGAAAGAGAAACGCAGTTTTGAAAAAAAATGTGACAAAAATATGTTTTCAGAAAACAATGAAAGTAATGTATAATTACTATGGCAAGAAACCATGTTGGTAAAAGAATAACAATCCTGGGATGATATTATTTCATAAATGTGATGCTCAAAATTATAATTCCTTTTGCTAGGACTAGACCAGATGGATGAAAGACCATTTTTTTCCATTTCATATTCTTTTAATGGTAAAAGTTGAATACTATACAATACAACATGTAACCAGAGCCATGATCATCAACCACTTGAAAAAATCTGTTCACAATCCTAATTTCTCCCACAACAGGAATATGCACGGACTGACGTCAGACCATTCTACAACTGAGAAGGGCAGAGGTCAATTGGGGCATAAAATGGCAACACCCAAGGGGTAAATAATATAAAATATGAAAAGCAAATAAATGATAAATTGCAAGTTACATTGATGTGTTGAACGTCTGAAGAAATTGCATGTGCATTAACTGACAGGAAATCAGTGCTACATGATCATCAATTAAAAAAAAAATCAATTATAAAACATCTTATCTGTGGATACTAATTTCCAAATTCACCATAACAGTAAAATTTGTAATGAAGAAAACAGAGATTATTTAATCGGAGCCTTGTTGTTCCATGCTGCTATGTACGTACCACGTAGGCCGCGTGTGAGCCGCCTTCCCGCGAGGTATTTAACACGGCTCTGTTGTTTTCCCTCAGGCTTCCTGCAAACCAGACCTAATGTTGTCAAATGTCGCATTGTGCCAACAATTTATAGACGCCATTGCTAATTTCCCCATTAATTAGGCAATTAGGTAGCCACAGGCGTACGGCATATTGCACCTCCACAGCACCTAACCGGTCTTCGGGCAATCAATTCACTCCATCACATTCATTTCTAACATATTTATTACCCATATCCAGAACATTGTGGTAACATTCCTGTCAAAATGCTCATCTTTACACCCATTGCCATGGGCTATTGACTCGAAATGGCTTCCTCCGAAATCAGATAATTCAATTTGACCAAGCCTATTGGTGGAAAAAAATAAGCAAATTAATATCTTCAATGCGGTAAAATAACTGGAAACAATCTTATATGAAGCTTTATCAAAGGAAGCCAAGTTTGTAATTACCAACTTCTAATTGTCACTATGAATTGCTTCTAGCTGATGGCTCTATAATTTCTGTACATGGGATGGAGAGGGTAGATTTGCCACTGTGCCAGGAGTTCTTCCTAAAGGCCTCCACGGTCACTTGGACTGGAAGCATCACTTCCATATATGGGCGAAAGTGGGAAAACACCAGTATCGATTTTGGCAAGCGGCCCAGATTACAAATCAGACTGTACCATGGTGGTAGTGGGTAGAGGGGGGATGCAGCTCCCAACAGTGTTGCTGGTGTAGCACTACATAATTACAGTCAGTGTTGTGCAGCATGATTTTATGGACATTCACAAATCTAATGATAAAAACATCAGAAAATAATTTTTTTCATCAGTACTGTACTCTTAATAACTTCTCTGCATTCTTCTGGTACAAAATATGAATACTAGTAGTCCCTAAATATCAACGATAATATGTGCATATGTGGAGCTTCAGCTGAGTGATTGAGTAGAGCAGACATTGTACTTTGGACAGACATCCTAGCTTTGTGATTGGAGTCTCCAAGATGATCTGGAGGGCTCGAGAGACAGCGATTTCATTACAATGATTAGTATCTGTATATAAGGCCTCACCAAAGTTCTTGGAAGATCTAGACCTTGAAAATGCTAAGCACACAGATACTACGGAGAATACTACTCGAAACTGTTCAGGAAAAAACTCGAACAGCAAAATGCAGCAAATATTTCATGAATTACAAAGCGCTGCCTTTAGGAAATGTCTACGTTTATCAAGTTTGGTAAAAAAACAAAAAAAGGGACGCTTTTTAATCAACAAGTGGATAAAACTCAAGACAGTGCTGATCCCCTCCACATCTGCTTGGAGATTGCATTTCGACGGGTTTTATCACAACAGGTGGGAAGGTCAGAGGTCAGGTTCAGAGGTGGTCGGACGCTGCCTCGTGACTTCACACATTCAGACTGACAAATGCAGATGAGATACAAACCTGACGTTTTCCCAATACACTGGACCACAGATACACGGTGTGGTGGCTTTATTTCCCCTTATCTGTCCCAGGGAAACAAGAAAACAACGTGCAAGCTCCCCCAGAGAACTTGTAATGGTATAATTCATCTAATCTCCAAGCAGATGTTGGGTGGGAGATCGTAATGTCAGAAAACATTACGGCCTCCAACCCTAGAATCCCAGCAGTCACAAATCTTTCAACAAAGAATAGCACACTTTTGGACTCTTCGTCACTGGGAATGGGGTTTCGTGCGCGTGAAAAATTTGCGAATGAAAAACTTGCATGGAAAATATGCAAATTTACCTATTCCCAAGGGACCTAAAATTTCCAGACTAAATTTTGAGTTACAGTTGGAAATTTCGAGACTCAATTTTGAGTTACAGATGGAAAATGACACCAAAGGATCACATTTTCCTGCATAAGACTTTTTTTGGTACTGCATATTTTCTGACATATTTCAGGGACTTTTATTTTTCACGAGCAAATTTTTCAAGCCAACATAGCAATCCCAGATTTTTGTTTACATGCCTTGCTGCACCATATGAAATGCATCCATCTATTCTCAAGTTGTAGATATCACGGTTATACAAATCCCATGCTGCAGCACCAAGTTTAGCAGATGCAATAAATTACGTCAAGAATGAGCAGCAGCATCTCTCTGTAACACGAGCCACATGACTTCAACAGTTTGGAGGATGAGTGATATCATGGAATAAGTACATATATTTTATCGCCTTTATTATTCCTATAAGAGTTCAACAAGATTGGTTTGTATGTCGGAGACCACCGTTAATTGATTGACTGGTTGTAGGAAGCTGATTACCTCAGCTTTTATGAGATTTGCTGCTTCAGGGACAATGGATGGAAATACCACCCACCCTCCTTGTAACATCTTTATTGCACATATGTCTCCTTTCCTGGGTGCACAATCAAGGTTTCATCACAATGCAGAAAAAAGGAAACTGTCAACATTTCTCTGTTTTCAATCACGGCATCTTTTCTGTACAGTTGTGCCACCCCTCTAATTGGATAATGGTAGAGTCCGGCCTTGGTGGGATTACCAAGATCATGGTGGTCATTTCCTGTGTGTCCATAAAGCCATCCACGGAGGGGCCTCCACCCTTCTGATAGCACACCTGGGCTTTGTTACCATGGCAACAGGGGATTCCTTCACAGCCTAGCCAGGGGTCAGGAGAGGTTAAGTACCTGGTACTTCACCAACTGTGTGGAGAGAGACTGATGTGATGGAGAGCTTGAGCACTTCACACTTCGTATCAAATCCAAGAAAACGGCTCCACCAAATTAGACCAAAGCTACGGCAGAGCAGCCACAATACAACACTGCAGGTTTAAGGACAAAAGTGAACCTCAAGATCACTTTGAAAACAATCCACTGAGCTTTTGCCAACTGTGAAAAGTACAGTATTGTTTTCAGATCTACATGTACTGCAGTCAGCAACTTGTAGAGCACCACTACTGAGTAGTCAGTTAGCAGCATTAGATGAGGTGTTTCTTTGTGATGCACTCTGAGTAGATGTCATTCCATTCATCTCATTGTTGATATGGTAACTTGAAGTTAAGCACCAAGGACAGGGCTAAAATGACTCAAACATGGCATCAGAACAACTGTGCCTGACAAAGGACTATAATACAATACAGGTACATTACATATCTATGACAAATATCAGTTTGAAAAAGCAGCTATTTCATCTAATCATGTTAAACAGCATTACAAACATGTGTAAATGCATCATTCAATCAGATTGGACCTCCTCCAAATCTATAGCCATACTGTGACAATCCTTCAATAATTCTTCCTAGCCTATCCTTGGTTATCCTACCATATGTCCTGTTTTTGCTACACCTGTAGGCAGTTTCTAGATGTTGGACAACCACAGTCGGTATGACTTTTAATAATCAATGTTTCCAGGGAAAATAAATCATGATTATTCAAGGAATTTAGCACATCTAGGGCAGACTAACCCACTTAGTGCCTGCTAATTCTACCTATTTTCATCAGCACTACTTAATTTCATTTGGTTAAAGTTGATTTTAAGGTCAATGTGTTTCTGTGTAATTTTCACCAGGGAACCTATAGATTGTGGCTGATGGTATTTAGTCCTATTTCTTCACATTATAATTTATATTTTGATAGAAAAATATCAGAATTTGCCTGTAATCATTAACACCAATACATATCAGTAGTTTTTCCTTCTGAGAGATCTGTTTACTTTTGCAACATGTACATTAAATAAGCTCTTTTTTTTTCTTTTTGCATATACCAGTGAGTTCCAAATAACGAACTAATTTTTACCAAATTTGCATGTACAGAAATAAAAAAAAGACATACTGGGAGCAAATGATATCCACATCTATCTATATATAGTGCAAAGAACTTAAAAAAACTCCTTCAACATATCAACTGTCAATCTGCACATATCCTTACCATGTCGTTCTGGGATCAAGTCATGGTTGACACTGTTACAACACAGATCATGTATCTGTGCCTACACAGTTGATAAGGTGGTAGCTTCCACCTGGGACCACCTGCACAATGCCCCCCAGTGGGGCTGACCCAGATAAAGATCACAGCATAATACATGTATAATAATCATGTGTGCACTCACTGGATGTAACGCTTGATCATATCACCGAAAAAAACACAAAGTGTGACAATTATTTTCTTCCCTGCGCTAAACTGTGCGGTGAATGCTTAATTTAGTGTACTTGGCCTGCCCGCGGGAAAGATTGTTAATTACCGTCAGCGCGGAAGCGAGGGCTTTGCCAGGTAACATGCAGTTCTCCAGCTGTGATTACGGAAATTCTGGGGTGGGTCCGACACAAGGTGCTAGCATTTTCACTTGAGTTAAAAACCCTCAGTGTGTTACTTCACACCCAGAGTGACCTTAAGCTGGCAACAACTCTTAAATAGGCCAGTTACCTGGGTAGGAGTACTCAGTTATGTCCAAGAGTCTCTTACATTTGTAAATTTTGACCATTTGTTCCTGAAAGGTCCACTTTCTGGGCTCTCCCCAAGCAATGAAGCAAGGGTGTTCCCCCTCTTCCCAAAATCCTAGCATCTCTACCAAAATGTTCAAATTTTGGGATATCCATATACTTTGATACAGCATCAAAAATTTTCAATAAAATTTTCTGTGGAACTGGAAGCATTCCAACAAGATATACTTGTCCCCAATGGCACATTGTGACATACTAATTAAACAGCAGACTGTTCCTTTTTCTTCAAAATGAATATCAAATAATCCTTTAAAATTGCTGATGACAGCCTGCATAAGGTGTATTCGGATACCACACACTTAGCCCGATAATTTCACATAATTCTTCACAGCCTGGCCATTAAATACTACATGCATAAGTTCATAGGTTTAATCTATCTGTTTATTTACAATAAATTTTTATTATTTATTTGTTTAGTTTTCATAACTGTTAAGCAACAGATATGGGTCAAGCTGCCTCTGGTTATCATTTGATTTCAAGGACATGTAACAGATATCCTGACAAAACCATCAGGTGAATAATTTATATTCACAAGTCATGTGTTTGGACCTGGTATCATTTCCCTTTGTGTAAAACTAATGGCTCTTACAAAAAGCAAATTTCCTTGTACTAGTCCAAAACCAAGATTAAGTTAATAATGCAAAAACACAATCAGATTGGCCAATCTAATTAACTGGTGTGCTAAGTGGCAAAATTAGACTCTCAAAAGATTAAAGCATTGGCATAACCCCTTTCACACCCTTTTGATTGCCAAAATGGGAGAAGAACCTGGGTGATGATTACCATCCACACAGCTAGTGTCATGTGATCATGTCAATCATCTGCACAATGCAGGTTACTCAAGGCCATGTGACATGCCTTACAGTACAGGATTCCAGCCTTAGGAAATATGATGATACACACAATTTCATCTGGCTGCAAATGTCCTGATATATTTCATTGCAGTTGAAGAAAATGCTGTAAACAAATACTTTCTAGAGATCTTGAACTATAAGATGAAAAGTTTGATGATATAGAGTTAAGATATTTTTTATATCAAACCCATGTACACATACATGTACATTTGTGAAAACACATGGTTAATGATTGAAATTATACTATGTCCATATCAAAAGTAATAAATACTTCTCCAAGACTAATACCAAAGACATGATATTAATGATGATATTCATTGATTTCTCAATAAAAAACAGCATTTGCATGTTATAATTTATACTCCAGGGTCAATTTATTATTACAAAATATCTAAGTATACAATAGCCTAAGGTGTCAATACTACACAATATTTGTTTAATTGTTAACAATTTAGGTTATGTCAAGACAGCTCCGCCCCTTGAATACACATCTGCGTATAGTAAATAAGTTTTACAGTATATGGCAGTCATAGGAATCCTTAGTATTGAAAATGATATAAAGATTGTGATCACATATTCCTCCAATAGCAAATCTTACACATTTTTGCATACAGGATTTGCAAGTTCAGACTTGAATCAAATTACAATATTACCATTACTAAAACAGTGAGAGGAGAGAAGATACTATATTATATATAAACAATATGAAAAGTATCATAAATAAAGCTATTACTGTTTTTCCTTTGATTTGGTCAATAACTGACATGACTGAATTGCTGAACCGTTCCGAGATTTTGACCAACCCACGTGGACAGTAAAAACTTTCACTTTCTGACGTTGAACCATGCACCGTTGAACTTTCACTCCACACTCCCGCGCGCTGCCCCGCGCACCCAACTTTTGCTTTCACAAATCAGACCTTTTATGTTGCCACCCCCTTACTGACGACAACCGTTTTTCTCCCGTACGTCGCGCGCACGACGTAATGTCCCAAACACGCGGGGTGCCACAGCTGAAGTGTTCCCAAGGTCAGGCTCCAAAGGGCAGCGGGAAGGAGAATGGAGCCGTACACGCGCACTACAATGAATGGCACATTCCGAACTCGCTGTGACCCCGAAATGGTGCGACCAACACGTAAACACCCGTACGGCCGTCTACGTTGTCGCATTTTTAACGCGCGATCTGAATACTGCAGCAACATTCTGTCAGGCCAGTACGAAAGAATGTGTCATTACCTCGACTTCTGTCCATTCCCAGCCGTCCTTTATTCGATCTGAATGTCTCAGAAGCTGGGAAGCTTCATCTTTGAACCGGCACCAAGTCAGGGTACCGGCGGCCATCTTGCAGGGGAAATGATCTAACTTCGGAGGGAGGGTGCGTTGTAGATTCACGAGCTAATAAGTTTTTGGCGAATGGAAAGGGGAGTTGCCTATCACGTGAGGTAAATATTTGTCTCCTGACGCCCCCGCAAAATCGATAAAAACAGCGGCTGACCTCCGACCGATACTCACAAGCAGCTCGCTGGAGATGGGAGCGAAAGGCCTTCCTTTGCGCGGGTTGTATTTTTTGGCTCGTAGCGCGGAACGCCAGGAAATAACACCGTTCAGCAGGCTCATTGTACTCCCGAAGCCCACAAACAGGAAGGCTTCGTCATGGTATGTCTGATTCAGGAAGGGGAAAGGGAAACCCTACGGTTGTAACAAATTATCAAATAAAGTTACAAAATCCCAGCAAGTATTAGCGGTGTTGCGCTACACAAACTTGGCTCTTCCAATCAGTGGCGCTACCTCCCGACATCTTTGTTGTTTCGGTGGTGTTTGGTTTCTTGCAATGCTGACCACTCGGAAAGATATAACAGTTACTATCGAAAACTCAAAACGACATGTTTCCTATAAGTCTGTGGCTCGCGATCTTTGTTGGTACCCAAGGAAGGGCAAGATAATATTTTACAAACGCACACGAACGGGGGAGCCATTGCAGAAATGCACAGCACCATCAATGAAGTGGCTAATTCAACAGTAGCCAATCAGGTATCAACTTACAGTCACGTGGGTTTTGAAATTTATAGCTTCAAGTTTGGGCTGTCTCCCGCCAAACAAATGGACCAATCAGCGAAGACCTTTTGACAAGTCATCATCGTGTTTCCATAGTTACCGGGTCGGGCTGGGGCTTGATGGGTTGACAGGTGCGTGACAGTCCAGCTATCCAGCATGTACGCCAAGGGGAAAGGTAGCACTGTACCCTCGGATAACCAAGCAAGGGAAAAGTAAGTCAACTTTATATTTTGCGTCGATTTTGAGCTGGGAAACAGAAAATTCAGGTTTCCGTCTAGGGGACTGTGTGGTTCGATCGGCGAGTTCGGCTTCCGTAGTGCTGCACACGGGGTCGTATTTTCGGGGGTACCCCCTTCCCCTGCTCTCTCCACCTCGTATGAATAATGGCTAGTATTTCGTGATTCCCGCTCTTACCAGATTGTAAACTTGGTGCACGTCTTGCGACTTGGCTGATCACGTTTTCTTTGGTCCCTTGCAGGCTAGCGTTATATGTTTACGAGTACTTGCTTCATGTCGGAGCGCAGAAAGCTGCACAGACGTTCCTGTCGGAGGTAGGTTCTCGGCACTATGGGTCACTCTCGCCGCAAACTCTTTGTGTCAGGCCACTGGCCACCATTTTGAATTTTTATAACCTCCCGCCTCTGGGATTTCGCCGTGATTTCCGATTTATCCGACTCCCCCTTGACGATTCTGTTATTTTTGTCAGTTCGCTCACCATTCCTGTTTTCTTGTGGTCCATACAGATAAGATGGGAGAAAAATATAACGTTAGGAGAGCCGCCCGGGTTTCTTCATTCCTGGTGGTGGTAAGCGATCATATGTTTGGATTTTGGTAACTTAGTGTGTGTGAAATTGAGTGCGTGTGTACTAGTGAACAAAGTAATACACATCACAATTAAATTGCTAAATCCTTGGAAAGCTCAGAATTCTACATTAGATTATCAAAATTCTTGCAAACTTATTTTGATTTTGCACGTAGTAAAGACACTCTGGAAAACTAGCAAAAGTTGGTACCGTTCTAGTAGTGGTTCTACAGCTGTACAGTGCAACTTGTAAGTGAAAGTATGGAAATATGAGACAAGTGTACTTAATACCATATGACCTGAATATTTTATAAATATTATTTTTAAAGATTAATCTCTTGATATATTATAGAACAATCAACATCGCGAGTGGCTGAGCTTTTGGCTGGCCTTTTATGAACGTTAAGCTGTTTCTTTTGAAGTTGTAAGCCGGATAATACATGTGGTATGCTATTGTAATTCTGTGATATTGATTAAGTTATGGTGAAATGACTATGCACATGTTTTCATTTTTGATGGTCCTTGTTGCCTATTTATACTAATCCATGCTCAGTGCTACCACTCTAAGGTATTTAGGTATGAGTGTACATAGGTAAGATTTTACCAAAGTATGCTTGGAAACAACAATCATGTGAAGAAAAATATGAATAAGAGACAAGGAGGACATTGGTATGTAGTTTCTTGGAGGGCACTATGTGAAAAAGTTGCCCTCTTGTTTTACAAGATGTTCCACTAAACTCTTGATTGTTGTTTGTAACTGTGTAGATTGTATGGAGTGGTATAATGTTACCGTTGTCTCACGCTTTGAATTTCCCCCTTTGTGGTCTTTCGTCTCCACTGTGCAAAGACGTAGCGTCTTGAAAGAAGTCCTGTCGGTTACGACTGTGTAACAAATTGTTCGACTTGTTTGCGTGTTGAACATACGAGCAGGTTTGTTGTTGTGCTCCGTTGTTTGATTGACTTCGCTGACTGTATTTTTTCCCCCTCCAGTGTTTTCTGGGATTTATACTGTGCGGCACCAGAGAGGAGAGATACTTGTGAACATTCATCCGAAGCCAAGGCGTTCCATGACTATGTGAGTTGTCCTAATGATTTCTTCTACGAGAGTTTTGTTGTTGCATGCTTAACAGCTAAATAGCATGATCAGTTTGGTTGCAAATAAACCCGAGGGCTGCCTCGTCATTGGTTACTTGGCAGCGACCTTTGGTACGATGTGAAAAGGTAGTGTACTCCTCACCAGTCTATAAAGGATGAAAAGCAAAGGTAATTGCTGCTTGGGCGGTGCTCAAAAGATAATAGTCTTGAAAGAAATCGAAGCTGATCCAAAGGATATAAAGGCAGGAATGAGAGTATCGTTGGCAGTATCTCCCAATGCAACAGGACATGGTCTGATATTTTTGTCTGGTGAAGTTGTATTGAACATCCCCTGCTATTTTTTTTTCAAAGAGAACAGAAGTTCTGGTTATGATAAGGTGATTGCTTTGACAAAGTGGAATGTTCTGGTGGCATATGGTATTAACCAAGATTTGAGTTTTGCATTGATAAATCAGAGATGGGGAAAAGTAAGAGTCTTTGTCTCTGAGGTGGTACTGTAACTGCTACGCTTGTTATCATACACTGAAAGTCTACAAGAAGGCACATAATATGGCTTATAGGCCATGAAATTTGTCCTATTCTTTGAGACCACTGTTCAAGGCAACAATACCAAGTGTATTCAAATACTGGCAACTGCATTCAACTGTTCAATGGGAATACATTATGCATGAGGAGAGTGGGGAGCATGGCCCCAGGCTCCAGCCCCTAAACAGTTCCCACTGATGCTCTTTTTCCACAATCTTGCTGGAGAATCAGGTTTTATTGCCTTTTGAGTCAACATGGATGCTGCAGTTGGGGAGTGGTGCTTGTGTTGTGTGTTTGGTTGGTTTATTGTTACCTGGGTTGACTGGTGGCTGTAGGTGTTAGGCACACTGGGGGGCCATGTGGGGTACAAACACAGTTTTCACAGCACTTGTGTCAGTGGGCTGGGAGATCTGCAGGGTTCAATACACAATAGGATGTATCAGACAAAGGGGACAGGCAATGCCGATGTTACCTGTCAAGGTTTTATCACTCCTCGTGCAGAGGAATGAGCGAAACCACTACAAATGTCCTGGGACGAATCCTTTCACTGGCCCCTTGCAAAATGCACAAGTGTAACACAGTGTGCAGCAGGGCCCTTGCATATTAGCACAGGGGTGGGCAGCATAAGAAAATGCAATTTTATCCCCTTCCCTGAACCAATTCTTCTGGTAAGATGGATATATGAGAACAATATGGTCTAGTGTTATGTTCGTTCAGGTATGAATAGATACCATGCTGTTTTCCTTAGGATTTAAGTTAAAGAGGAAAGGTATTTATTAGGCTGCTGGAGTGTGCACCCCCGTGCCAGTTGGTAGTGGTTCGAACAAGGTACTGATACTTTCTGGCTGGAATAATAAAACAGTCTAGCCTGGCTGCTTTTATCACATGTATAAATGTGTGCAAAGAAATAGTTGAAATCATCAAAATACTTGCAAGAAAGAGATTTTTCCAATATAGTGTCTACACATGCAGATGAACTGAAGTGAACTGACATAGGGTAGAATACCCGGTAGATGGATGTTTTGAATGTTTTAGGTAGAAATGTGATTTTCATGGAAAGTGCCGTTTTTTGGAGGTGACTGGTTCTCTTCGTACAGGGATTATTTTGGTTACAGTTTGCTATGAATTGATTCAGTCAAAAGATTTTCATGTTCCCACTTTTCAATTTGAGTATTCTCAGTATACCTGGTATAAACTTGATTGTTTTCATGGTCTTTTCTCAATAGCTATAAAAATTTGATAAACGTGATATTTGCTGTGCCTATTTTCTTCCATTTTTTTCCACGTCACCAGATTTCTTACTTGACTAAATGGTTGTGATTAAGAAGAAAGATGTCTGTTTTGAAAGATATCACTATTAAAAAAATGTAGCTCCTTTCTGACTTTTCTGTCAATGTTCTTAGATTCCTGGATAGGATAAACTTCTACAACAAGGTATTGTGGTGGAATGGTAGACACAGGAAAACAACATACAGTTGCACCTAGTCCTGTGTGCATCCATGTGAGAATGGTCTGTTTGGTATTACAGTACCTGTTTACTATGTATCCACCTCAAGTCAACACAGCGTGAGGGGGCCATGCGTTTTACAGTGTGATTGTTTGTCTTTCTGATGAGTCCCTTACGTAGAAAAGGTTTTCAGGGACACCAGTACGGGTAAAGATGTGGAATCCGCAAAAAAACTTGACAACAAAAGAAACATCCACCAGTCGTGGTGTCGTCAGTCTGCAAGCAGCGTGACTTGGAGTCGCTGGCTGCAAGACAAAGGAACTGGATGAAAGGTTATACCTAGCATGTGCCTGGGTCGCTGCCACTTTCTTTGTATTGGGTCAAAGTTCGGAGGAAGCAGGGCAGATAAGTTTTCACTTGCATGGAGGAAGACATTTTTGGTTCGATCGAGAGAGGAGGGGAAGGGTTTCGCAAAGCAAAGTGTCTGCGCAACGCTCGTAGTTTTACGTTCAGCGTTCGTGAGACAAGGGTTACGGTTGTTCAGTGCTATTGAGATGGTGTAGCATGGATCATTATGATCCTTTGTTGGTCTGACTGGTCAGTTAGAGCGACATATGTGGTCAGAGATAGGGAGTGACCATGGGGGATAAAACCAACAAACCCAACTGTTTCTGGATTTCAGGGTCCTTATGGAGTGAAGTGCTTGATTATACACAGACACTAGGCTAGCTTCACAAATGGTATACTGTCATGACTCATATTGGTTTATTTTCTTACCGTTTTGGGAGATTGTGTTCCCAAAGACATTGAGACTTGTGATGCCATCAGTTGAAAACTTGAATGGGGTATTGCCTAAGAATATTATTATTATATGATCGTATGGTATCAGCACGTGTGAACAAGGCAGCTCACAAGGTCCAGGATCGTATGTCCAAAAATCAGCTTTTAATGACATGTTCGCACATGGTCTGGTTGTAGGTAACTATCAAGCAACGTTTCCTGTCATGCTAATTTCAGCATGTTTTTACATACAACACCATTTGGGAATCTTTATGATATCAAACACCTTCTCATAATCTTATCATTGATCACATGGTGAACCATGAAGAGATCCTGTCGGCTCTTGAAACAAAGAAACATTTTGACTAAAATGCAGTCGCTCAGATTTCTGCCAATCTAGTCTGTTCTCTAGTCCAAATTGATAGTCAAAATTGTTTTGACTATAGATTTTAGAAATACTAGCGTTTGTTGGTAAGTCAGGTGTGTTTGAACCTCTACAACGTGACCAACAACAATATTAGGGTAACCCAAATGATGGTAACCAGCACGTTTCTCTGTATGAGCCAGCGACCTGGTATGGTGCCATCCCATGCTGACCTGACCTCTGACCTTGGGCAGCAGTGACCTTGTCTCACTCAGCTACAACTGTATCAGTTTCACCCGTGGCTCACAAATCATCGCAGGGCTTTCCAATGTAAACCGTTTTCTTTCTCTTCAGGCCATCATGTCATATCTTGATAAGGTTTTCAGATATAGTAATAGTATTTGTCAGTTATTAACCAGTCACGAAACAAATGTTTTTATTGTGGATTAAATACATGGATTTAGAGAATAGAATTAGATCAAGTTTTTGTTGGGTGTTGAGACTGTAGTGTAGAGCTACTTGAAATTGGGCAAAGGTCTTTACCAAGCTGACAGCTTTAGAAGGAAGAAAAGTTTGTTGGACGTAGAAAGTGTCCCTTCGCCTCAGTCGGGGCTTGAGCAAACTGGAGCGTCAATGGTTTAGTTAGCTTTTCAGGACACTTGGAAGGGATGTCTGGACAAGTGCCAACACAGGCCCAGGTGCAGCCCTGGGTGGTACCTGGGAACACAAAACCAAGTTCTGCGTCTGATTATATTCTTAAACCTATTACATCTGTAGAGCTGGGTTTTTTTTACGGTGTTGTTGGTTTCCTTACACAGTGGTTCAGTGTGTTGTTTTGATGTTGTCCTCTATTGCTTATGAGAAGTGCTTGGCCCCAATCCCAGAAAAAAAGAAAACTATTCAATCAGCAGTTCAAGTTGTATTGAGCCTAATATGATATATTAGTAGATTAACATATACCAAATTGTAGTATAAGAAAACAATTTGACAATATGTGGAACTTTGTAAAACGATCAAGAACATATTGAATACAAGTGTACAAATATCAAGAATACAAGATTTGGGCACATAAGATAAAAAGAGCAGTTGAAAGATTTACACGTGTTATTTACTGTCTAATTTCCCTACTTTGTCTTAGAGGAAATTGAAGATAAATCTAACTATTCTACTTGATACAAAATTTATGGCAACATAAATTCAAGATGTTGTGTCTAGAAATAAAGAGAACACATACTGAACCACCAAAGTATTTCTGAAATATTGTTGTGAATGGAATGGAAAATGTATTAAAAATGTGGTAAAAAAAGCAGTGCTCTGGACAACATATAGTTTTATTTTCGTTGTTTTTGAGGTCAAAAACTAGAGAATGTTTTACTTTGGCCAAGCAACCAACGCAGCACCCGCAAGTGTGCCAACTTTCCTCACTGTTTATTGCTGGTTGGACAAGTGCTTGCATCATACCCCAGAGTTGTGTGTTTTTAGAAGACAGGAGTTGAGAAAACAGACCAGCCAGAACTTACTTCTCCCTGGCAGTGTTCCCTTTCCTCTTCAACTTGTGTTTGCTTAGGAGTTCACCTGGACAGGACGTACCTGTCCATCTAGACACTGATAGACAGATGTCATTAGGAATGTAAACCATTATCTTAGAAGTGCTGAACAAAGTTTCTTTTTACAAGGATTGGAGGCTTCAAGCCAGCCAGTGAAGAAAGGGGTTGGCATATTTGCCTGAGTCAGTAACAGGATCTGTTTTCTTTCCAGCTACAAGTTGCATACAAAAGGATAAAGCAGGATTGAGTCATGGTCCAAAGGTATTCATGCTTGTAGCACCTGAAGCGGTACAGTGTATAACCAACCTATTTAGCAA